CCAAGATGGCTCACGGGCCACACACGAGCCCCCAGGCCACATGCAGGTGGCCCCCAGTGTTTTAAAAGAAAGAATGTCCCAGCCGCCCTTTGCAAAGGAGACAGTGCAGCATGCCAGAGGGTGGGAAAGAATGCCGGGGAGAGCCAGTCCTGAGCATAAATCTTCCTTTCAGCATTCTAGCCAGCACCCTCCTCATCAGCCATTAGCATCATGAGCCATGCGGTGCCCCGGGGAGCTTGGTGGGGTGAAGCAAAGGCGGTACTGGAAAGGTGCAGAGGCAGCTTATCCTATCATCCTACAGCTGTGCATCCATGGCGTGTCAGCTCGCTCCGAGCAGCCTTTTCCAGCACTCATTAACCACGACGCGACTTCATTCAGCTTTCGTACAAGGGAAACGTTACTCTAGCAGACAGGCAGGTGTTTGGCAGCTCCCCCCAGCTCTGCCAACACACTAATCTACGACCTGCAGGTCCCACTGCTATAGCCATGCTCTCCCTTGCCCCTCCAGGAGCTCTGTCAGGGTGAGTCTATGCTAACCGTAACTCAAAATAAAATACACAATTTGAGCGACACAAATTGTGTCTCTTATTTCGATGCTATTTCAAAATAGCTTATTTCGTCATTTGGCGCTGTCTACACAGCACCACATTTCAAACTAAAGCGCTATTCCAAAACGTCCCTTTCTCCTCGTAGAACGAGGTTTACAGGGACGTTGGAATAGCAAGCCTGAAAGAACGGGCTTGCTGTGAAGCCACGGGATAGCTATTTCGGGATACTCCCGTGTCCCGAAATAGCATTGCAGTGTAGACGCACTCTCACTGTCCTGCAATGCTCTCCTCCCCCATCCCACCCATATCTGTCCTGGCACGTGCCTCACTCCTGCCCCACTCCCCACCTATTCTGACGCAGCCCAGAGCTCCACACACAGTGCTCTCATTGCTCCTCAGGTCTGATCTTGAAAGCCTCCTGCTAGTCTGAGCATGGAAACCAGGGTGTCCGTGGATAATAATGCCAAAGGGAGAAAGTGTCTACAGCTTGCACTTCCATTTAACCCCTGGTTTCTAGCCTTCTCCGCTAGCAGTGTCAGGTTCTCCTCTGCTTTTGGGCCTGAGGTGAGCACTGCAGAATGAGTTAACGATCGATAACACGAACAAGATAGTGCCTAGGTCAAAAGACCTTGGGGAGGGCAAGCCACAGTCTTGGACCTGCTATGGAAGAGGCTCTTTATCAGGCTCCTGCTGCTGACTCCTGTTCTCTGACACCGAACAACCCTGCCATGTCCTGGAAGAAACAAGAGTCTCTGAGGTAGAATGGGGTGGTCCCTGGTCTCGAGGTGACCCCCAGGGAGCCACTGCTGTTATGGATCACTGGTACAATATGCTCTCTCTGGCTGCTTACACTCAGGCGATAGGTACCATTGCTGGCTTCACTGGGAGCCAGAGGGATTTGCAAGAGTCCAGCTGTCAGGTGTCCAATGCATGCACTGCAGTGGCCAGGTTGCCACCAGCAGGATGGACAGCCAGTGGGGGAAGAGGACTGCTTTGTGACTCCCACTCTTCGAGTGTCTCACGTCAGTTCCAGGCTATTGATCATCAGACACCCACCCTGAGCCGCCTGTTGTGAGAGGGCTGTGGGTACCTATGCACAAGGAAGGGCACCTCAACTCCCAAACTCATTACAGCCGTCTCAGGATCCCTTGGACTGGTGCAGATGAGCTGGCAGGAACATTGCCACTTCCCAGAACCATAGTCATCTATCTCACATGCTTTTTCCTCCATTCCTGTCCCCATGGCCTGGGCCTGCCCCACTCTCTGCCAATGAGATGAAGAGTCTGACTGTCTCTTTGGGGCTGCCTTTCCAAACAGGATTCTCTGTCAGGAGCCAGGCACATCTTGGGAGCAGGTTACAGCCTTTCTGAGAAGCCCCCCTTCCAAGCTGACTGGCCGGGGTGCAGAGACACCTCTGGACAAGACAGTGGAGGAGAGGGGCGCACAGCTGTCATGCTGTAATATATCTGCAGGCTCCCCAAGGCAGTATGGGGAAGGTGGAGGGATTGCAGCTTTTGGCTGGTGACATATTACATCCAGGAGGGAAGGAATTGCCTTGCAGGGAACATAAATCAGGGACCATTCTCACCTTTGAGAAAAACTAAACTTCGTATGAATATAATTATACTCTTGGTGCAAATAAAACAAGATATGACAGATTTAGAAGTCTGCCACTACTAAGCTGGTGCTATAAAACTTCAGTGACTAGCATTTGGCAGGAGATTCAAAGAGGATTCTGCTCTCCCTAGACACTGATATTGTGCCCAAGATATCTCTTTTAGAGCTCTTTTGCCTGAACTTTGCACACACTGCAAATTAACGGAGTTTGCCTTGGACCACGCAATCTGCACCTAGTACCTCTGGGGTTACAACTTCAAAGTCCCAAAGTCTTTTCCTGCATCTACCTGAACCTGCCTGCAGGATTTCGAGTAACAAAGGGTTTTGTCTCCAATTCCTGAACGTGATTTTACTGTCTTCGCCATAATTCCTAAGCCACCATCTAGCAGAGTCAACATTCCACTTTCTCTCCAGGGCCAGGGTTTGCTCCGTCCTCCTGAAATGCTGCTCCACTTCTCTGCGTGTGCAATACATCTGTGCACCGTCCTCAGGGAAGAGAGCATCCATCATTCGCTCGTACTGAGTTAATGTCCGCTCAGCAGTGAGCTGGGGTTTGGCATTTCCCCCCAGTGGCTCTGAGCTGGCAGCACAAAGCATGTGCAACTTCAGTGGCAGCTGTGAGTAAAGCCTCAGCATCTTTGGACATTACAGCCGGCCTGGTCACTCAATCAGGGATTGAAAAGTAGCCTCTCTTCTGCAAAGGCATTTCACCAGTCAATTACCCAGAAAGAGAGGGTGTGGAATGGGTAGTCATCCACAAGTCTGACACTGTTCCCCTGGGCTTGAACAAAGACATCGACTGGATGTTGCATTATAAAGCCAGTCTACCCTGCCTTTAACAACTCCATTTTTACATCCAAACCAGAGAACTGGACACTTCCAGCCAACTTACTTAGCCTCATTAGCACCGGTCCTACAATTGACAGGTACTTCCCCCCATCTTTGTTATAAATAATTTGGTTCCTGTTATTTCCACTACAACTCATCTGATGAAGTGGTTTTTACCCACAAAAGCTCATGATACAATATATATTTGTTAGTCTCTAAGGGTGCGTCTACACTTACACCCTAATTCGAACTAGGGATGCAAATGTAGGCGACCGAAACTGCTAATGAAGCGGGGATTTAAATATCCCGCACTTCATTAGCATGATCTCGCCGGCGCGTTACTCCTCTCAACAGCTGTTTCGAAAGTGAAAGTGCGCGCCAGGACGCGTTAGTTCGGACCAAACCCCTTGGTTCGAACTAACGTTACTCCTCAAAAAATGACATTTTTTGAAATGTGGGTGATCAGAGTGCATGGCTTTAAATCTGAAATTGCTTTCTGAGTAAACTGTTCTCATATCACATTTATCACAAGCAGTGTTTGAACTATTGCAGCACATGGACAATAACACATCTCCCAGAGTATTCCCAGTTTTCCTAACTGGACATAAAGTTCATTATTTGGAGAGCAGCTGGCACAGACCTGAAGGGAGAGAGGAACTTGCAAAACTGGTAGATTCTTTAGCGTTACAGACAACTACAAAAAATCTGCTTCTTTCTCTATTTCAATAGTTGCCCGGCCTAGAAACTGGCCAACACAATCAATCACCACAACTCTGCTTGGAGATAATGTTCTGAGCCAGAGTTAATTATAATGGTGAAGTCTTCAATGATACATTTAAGCAAAGTATAATTACAAGAGGTTACTATCTATGACACTCTTCAACAGCATGCACCTTATCACTAGGTTGCCCACAATATGTTATTATAATTTATAGCCAGCTGTGCTACATTTGCCTCTTAAGTGAGCACATTTCCATGCTGCTCTGGGCTGACCTCGAAAAATGCATGCAAATTAAATTACCCCGCACACATGCTGCTATTTGTAACACCAATCACTTTGGGATTGATAGTCAGGCCTCCACAGTGATTGGGAGGGTGGATTAATGAACAGTTCAGTCTGACACAGGTCAGGATTCCCAGCACCTTGTCTTTCATTTAGTGCACTACATAACGGACCCCGCTTTCATACATTCCCTTCTCCCGATGCACAGAGATCCCTTGGTCTGGGGAACTGCCCCCACACACACACTTCCCAGTGCCAGGAGAGCAGCAGAACCAGGTGGCTGCCCTGGCGTCTGTCTGGCGAGGGGGCAGTTCAGGTTTTGCTGAAGCCCTGGGGATGCCATGCAATGTGGTCCCAGTAGCTGGGGAGGATGCTAGTTACCCTGACTGCCATTCTCCATGGAGTGCCAAGAGCACACAGTGGCAGCACAGCCCTGGTCACAGCAGGCAAAGAGCCAGGGAGAGGGGGCCACTCAAACTCACAGCAGAGGCCCCACTGCACAGAAGTGTGGATCTTTGTTTCCTGGTGAATATCAGCAATTAATGCCAGCGCACGTTACGCCAGGTGACCTTGCAGCCTTGGCATCCAGTCACCCTGCACGCACCACCCTGCATGCCAAACTCTAGAATATTTCTCTTGCCCAGTGTGACCAGGGAGCAGGATCCACAGCCCCACACAAGGCGCTGTGAGCACAAGAGCTGAGTGACTGTGTCAGGTGCAGTTGCCTGGTGCCGGGAGAGGCGAGAGTGGCCCCAGAACCTCAGGGAGCCAGAGCCAGAGCCAGAGCCAGGGGCAGGGCGGTCCTTCAGGAACCTGTAGGCCCTCCGGCTTGGGGAGAACGCTTGACCTGGGTTTCTGGTCCATCACTCTCCCCAGAGTGACCCTAAGCCCCAGGGCCAGAACAAGGCTAGGGGCCATGCCGAGCAGGTATGGAGCAGGGTGGGGAGGCCAGCTGCTCACTCCTGACATTGCAAAGGCATCACCACGATGCTGAAAAATCTCACCTCCTTCAGGTCGCCTCAGCAAGAGGAGACAGAGCGTGTTGGTGCAGCAGTGCAGGCTGCCACGGGCATTCATCCTTGCTGTCAGTCCCATGCCCTGACCCCTTCCTCCATCGCGGGCCGCTCCATTTTCACCGAAGCCGTAACCACGAGAGCCAGCGCGACTGGAGCTGCTTTCAGCCTCTCGGAGCTGGATTCAGTTTCACCAAGTCATTCTCTGTTTTGAAAGTAATAACGTTTTGCAAATTGCCCATTTTTCAACCCTAATGAATAAGACTCTCTAGTAACCTATCACAGCCCTGTGCCAAACAGCAGGGACACCAGCATGGCCTGCTGGACGAGGGGAGACTGTTCCCTCAGGACTACGTCTGGTCTCAGCAGACGTTCCAGGTCATTCCTCCATAACAGTGCACATGTTACAAAAGCAGCCTGTAGCCAAGCACAGAAGAGGGATGAGACGTGCCAACACCAAGCACTCGGGCCAACTGGCTCACCTCTCTGCTGCCATGGCAAAGGCTCAGCTCCGGGGTAGGGGAACTGGGGTGGCTGCTCGGGTTCATGCTGGCCAGCCAAACAATGGATGCAATCCACTACATTTCAGGAATGTCTTGTCATGTGAATCACTGGGCCATTAACCTGAGCAGCCCCAGTGTATCCTCCAGCACCATCAACACTGCCTGCCTCGTCCCCAAGGGAGTAATTAAAAGGGAATCACACAGAGGAATGTGTAATGCATTATTGGATCCTAATAAATACAAGAGCCCTCTAGAGCACTGACAGTGATTTAGAACGGAGCTGCTGGATACGGTGGGGGAGGGAGGAGAGAAGTGGGATTTGTTCTGCTGTTAATTTACAGGACAACAGTCATGTTCCTCTTTATCCCTTTGTCCAGCGAGAAAGGCTTACAAAGGGCGCTGCAGTGAGGAAGGAGCTCAGTTATTTAGCACCCCATTTAAACTGTGCAATCAACACAGCACAAGCAGTCACCCTCCGCTCTGAAGGTTGTAGCCTCTGCTTACAGGGATACATCACAAGGTGAACAAACATAGCAGCCCTAAAATCTCCTCGAGGGAGAGGCAACTTGTCTAACGGGGCTAGCTCAGGGCTTGGAACCATCACTCCTGGGTTCCGTTTCCAGCTTGGCCAAGGTTCTGTTGTGGGTCTGGGTACGTCACTTCACATCCTGCCTTAATTTCCCATGTTCTAATACTCACTTGGAAGTATTAATTCATGTGTGTACAAGGCTTTGGAGCTACCAGTCCCTCTGCACTGCTAACCATTGTCAAAATAGGGTTAAAAAACAGGTACAGAAGAACAGGTTGTAGCATTAGAAGAAGCAGTCACCTTGTCTCCTCTCTGTTGATAGGGCCTCATCCAAGACACAGATCTTGAGGTGGGGCAGTCGATGATAAAATCAGGAAATAAGTTGCTTTAACTCTTGGGTTAAGCTGATCTAACACCAGCTGGGGGGTTTGTTTGCTCCCTAAAGAAACACTCAGATCATCTTGGAAAGCCTTAATTTAATCTGATGTACATTGTGAAGGGAACAAAGTCTAGAAACTAGGATAATAATATTTGATTATAGTTCCTGGGGGCAGATATAAGCAACTAAACATAAATTCCCTTCCCTTTGCTTTGTGCTTCATCCATCATCAGTGAATCTACTCTCATTTTGGTCACTTTGTTCTCCAGGGAGTTGGAGATACAAAAGCCTACCAGGGCAGCTAGTCCATCCCCAGACCCTACAGCACAGAACTCTTCCTGCAAGTTCCACCTACACTCACCTTGCTACAGTGTCACTGCTGGCTTGCAGGGTAAAGGCACTACCAGCATCTCGGGCTTGTGGCACTTAGGAAACCCTACAAAGCCCCAGCCCCCTCCCTGCACTTCTTCAGAATCCACTGATGGGCTGTTTTTGAGCTGACAGCAGATTCCCTTCGCATGGTAGAAGTGGCAGACACTGGGTGCACATGCAGAATTCCAGCATCATCTGGCCCACTGGGGTAACTCTCAGCCATGCCACAATTTTTCTCCTGCTCTGCTACTGGGACACTTGTTGACTGAGAACTGTTTTTTATATAGAAACCTTCATTTCTTCTTTCTTCATTCGTTCTGCAGGCTTTACAAAGCTGTTTCTCAACGCCCCAGTGTGCATGCTTCGTTAAACCACAAACTAGGCTGCAATTAAATCAAATTCCAGAGAAACTTCTTCCAGCATCTTACTTGGTACCTACTGTCAGTTCATCTGTGTGAACTGACTGTGGGAGGAGAATGATTTCCAATAATCCTAGTTACCTACCTGATGGCTGGCCAGGTGTGCAGATCACCTGCCAGGTGCGGTCTGCCCAGCTCTTCTGCAAATGTAGTGCTACAATATTAGCAAAAGACAAACACAAACGGAGAAGCTATAGCTCCATCAGAACTAGTCCTGAGCATGCCTATATGTGAATATTATGCATTTGTATGATAGTAATGAGGTAATTGCACTGAATTATAGTACAGTGGAAGAAAGAATCACAACAGCATCTCAAGGAAGCTTCCCTCCTCTCTATCTTCCCTCCCTCCCCCCAGCCCTCTCCTTCACCCGATAAAATGTTTAGTTTCAGATCAAATAGCTTGACTTGCTGCTAAAGCCAAAGCTTTAGGGCAAGCACCTGGTTCTGATCCTCTTGGCTCTGGAAAACAAGCAGGATTTTTCAGGTCACTTTAGGTTGATGTAAAGTTCAACAATAAATTAAAAATACATCCCTTCCCCCCTTTGTGGTTCAGACTTTAAAGGTACCTTCATCAGCAAGTCTCTGGGAGGGTGAACCAGGAAGAGCTGAATTTCCAGAACAATCCAGAGCCCCTCCCCCCCTTTACCAATTCTGCTGTTAGAGAACCCAGCTCCCATCTGCATGTGTGCACAGGAAAGGCACTGAAACCCAGACAGACAGACAGACAGACAGACAGCCTCGGAGGCAGAACCACTTATATAACATTGAACGACACTCACTACCATGGGGATATGCACCCAACAATGTCTAGGGAGATAAATGCAGCAGAGTGAAGATGAGGTGCAAATTCCACACGCACCTTCTTGACTGTCTATCTCCACAGTCAGGGACTGCCCTGGAACTAAGCGGCACCTGCTTTCTGTGGAGCCCCAGGCTGCCTACACTGGAACCACCCGGGGAACGTGCTGATCCAGCATCTGACACGCAGACAAGAACAGCCCCTTCTGTGCTATGACCTGGCAATATGGACACTGTCATCAGGCATTATCACACAGGGACAATGAGAGACCCGATGCCCCCAACAACAGTAGCACTGACTACGCAAGATGAAGCATCATTGGTTGGTTGCAAAATAAACTTTGTGGAGAACACGCTTTATAAACTTGTGAAAATACATGGATAATAAATAAATAAATTACTCCTATGTGCATCCTGCCCCCTGTTTTCAGGCAGGGAAGCCATTGTGAGAAGAGGGGCAAGAAGTTATAGAACAGCAACAAAGACACGATAAAAAATAAAGATGAATTAAATAACCTTCATCTCCAGTAGGATAAGAAATCTAATACCAGCTTAAGTAACTTAAAAGTTGTTAGCAGTTATATATTACTTGCAACATATTTTACACTAGGCAGCTATGAAAAAAGTCATATTAATGCAATTAAATGTCTGAACTGTTGCTATTTTGCAAATTAAAACACACGGTATCCTTACCTCAGCTTATATTACTTACTTAAGACTTGTGCACAGTTATTTTCACCAGTTTAACCATGCTTCTTTTCCATAAAAAATCTGTTGTTAATGGGTCCTTTGGGAACTCTGAAAATAACAAGATCTTTAATAAAAAAAATTAATAACTGTGAGAGCAAACTCAAGTTGGAAAGTCTTCTTAGAATACATTAAAGGTTCTATTTTGAAAGAAAAAGATTTGCACAGAAAACCTCCATTGTTTGATTTTCTGCCCAGCACTGTGCAGCAGGTAAATCAAAACCACTATTCTTTGCAAGAAAAAGGGGGGAAAGGGCAGTCTCCAGAAGGAGCAGAGTGTATCACTTCTGGGGGTCACTGAAAACCCTACAGGCTGGTCTTGCTGCTACTGAGGGTTAGAAATAAATTACTTCTTGTGATACACTTATGTAACATAGTAAGATCTGCCAGGTAACAAATCAGTTATACATACATTGGTTTTACATTTAGACTCATCTTGTCATTTAAACTTCTAATGGCAGCACTGCTTTCATCTACTTACCCAGAAAAGTATTCAGCAGCTGATTCATTTGAGGTACCAGCATGATAAAAAAGAGGATATCAATTAAGAGACTCAGGAACGACATCACACAAACAGAGCATGTTAGTATATGCCACTTGCAGGCAGAATGCAGAATTCTGCCCCCCTGTGTGTTCAAAAGCTAATGAGATGCATTCCCAAGTACTTAACAAACAGAGATTGTCATGTATTTGTCAGATCAATGTGCTGGTCTGGCCTCCATCTAGCTACACCCTGGAACTGGATTCATAGATGTCTCACACAATTTTAGAATTTCTGACTCATAAAATCTAGCTGTTGGGATACGCAAGCATAATCCTGCAGGCTATTTCTCTGGTAGTCTGTGTTGTCACCTGTTCTTCCTTTGCTTTGCTTCTTGCTCCCATGGCCAGACTTCTGTTTGCCTAATTCTTCCATGCTCCTCTGATGCACTTAGAAAAGGTGCAAATTCACTTGTGGGTCATGCCTCAAAATTCCAAAACACTCACACAAGAGTGTTAGCAATGTATTCTAGTAGTAGCCATTGATTGTGCTAGGGACCAGCTTGATAATTTGACCAAGGGATATGTGAACAGTTCAGTGAAAACTCTTGCTGGGGTATATTAGTGGTCATACTGTATATATATACATACCCTATATATATACACCTTCCATCATAGCAGCTTCCCTGTGCTGCTGCCTCTTCCAATAAAAACAGACTCTAGTCAAAGAGAAAAGGCTGGCATATCATACTGAAATGGGGTGATGCCATGCCATACACCGAGGGGACACTTTCCTCGGGACACTGTTCTGTCCCCCAATCCGATCAAGAATACGGCAAAAATGGGAAAGGGGCCTAGAATGCTAAGGGTACGTGTGACGGTGCGTTGGAGTTTTCCTGTCTCCTGCACCCCCGTAGTGGCACAGACAGACTCCACCAGCCAGTAGAATAGAGGGAGTTTATTGCTTCTCCAGGATACAGCACAGCACAGATGTAATCTAGTTACAGGGCAGGCCTAGGATGCCTCAGCTCCTCTTGAGATGGGGGAGCCTGGGCCCCTAAATCCCAGCCCATTGCCTAGGCTGCTTCCTCCATGATACCAGCCAGAAACCTCACCCCCTCACTTCCAGCCCTGCCCCCAGCCAGGGCTCCACTCCCCTTCTTCCCATTGTTCCGCTCCCTGGGAGATAACTGGTCAGACAGGTTCGAAGCCCCCTTGCATAATGACTCATCCCCTGCCCTGCTGGGCTGTGCTGCAGCCAGAGGAGGTCACTCACAACCCAAGCCTAGCAACCAGCAAGGTACCCGCACTACGTCACAGTGCGTCTACACTAGCCCCTTAGTTCGAACTAGAGAGACTAATGAGGGCGACTGAAATTGCAAATGAAGCGCGGGATATTTAGCATGTTCCCAGCCAGTCGCCATTTTTGAAAATGACTAGCCCGGAATAACTGCCCGCCTCTACACGCGGCAGAGAAGCGCGATTCCGAGATAACCCCTCAGTTCGAATGAACAGTTAAACCTCAAACCTCTGTTAATTCGAACTAAGGGGTTATCTCGGAATCGCGCTTCTCTGCCGCGTGTAGGAAATAGCACAGGTGCCCTGGTGGCCACTCCATACAAAGTAATCAGGACTCTCTAAATCCTGTCTCCTGGCCCCTCTTAAAGCTGCAGGCCCCCTGGACAAGCCTTATAGCAGGAAGCTGGCTTCAGAGCAGTACCTCACCGCAGGGCTCTCCTTGCCACAGGCCTTGCCAGCCATGGCTGAGCCTCAAGCCCCCTGCAACCTCCCTGGCTCTCGCAGGGAGCAGCCATGGGGTCCCAGGACCCACCCAGGGGACCAAGAGGTGCGCACTCTGCTGGTCCCGACTGGAGATCCTGTCCCTCCTTGAGCTGTGGGGCGAGGAGGAGACCTTGCAGGATCTCCAGTCCATGCGCCGAAATGCAGACATTTATGGCCAGACGCCCTACTCCCAAGTGGACCTTGGAAAAGGTCTGGAGTAAAGGAGCTCTGCCAGGGATATGTCTGGGCCACAGAACGCAGCCCCATTAGCAGGAGCTGCACCAGATCCTGGGGGATGGGGAAATGTCTTCCCCACCCGTCCTGGAGACCCCCATCATGACCTCCGCGTAGGAGGAGCAGGAAGGCCAAGGCCAACCAGAGGAGGAGGAGACAGACACCGTAACCTTGTCCCTGGAGACGGTGCCAGTGACCCAGGATGTCTCCCAGGCCGCCTCAGAAGCCTGGGAGGGATCTTCAGTGAGTGGTCTCACTTTGTCACACACACAGGGGCGAGTGTCGCTCGGGCTGGACATCGAGCTGTGGTCCGTGCGCGGGCAACCACATGCAGCGTTAGTGTTCAGCATGCAGACGCAGCACAAGAGGCTACTCACGTCCTGCTACGGGGGGGAGGGTGGGGTGCCATGGTGGGAATCAGGCTAGCCACAAGGGTGCAGGCACGACCCCACACAGAGTGCCGCACACAGCACGCAGGCATGCCTGCACATGGGAGCCAGCAGCCGCTCCCGTACACAGCGCTGCGAGCTGCACCTGTGGGTGCAGACCCCAGGGAGGCCCAGGCTGCTCCCAGCTCCTCTGCCACCCATGAGGGGATCCCACTGTGGCTGGACACTTCCCTTGCCTGCTTGTCCGTGGACCGGAGGGGGGTGAGGATGGGAAGCGGGCAGCACGGTCCCCTGGGCACGTTGGGGCCCCTGTGAGGCATGGCCCGCTGTGCAGGATATCCTCCTCCTCTGGTCTGAGGACTGTTGGTCACTCCTCACAGAGGAGGGTGCAGCCTCAGGGACAGTGTCTGCATGGATGACTGGCCCCCTCTCCTTCTGTGTTCTCCACAGCTGGACCAGCTGGGACTGAGGGGCGAGCCACACCACCGCAGCCACCTGTCAGAGCCCAGGGGACCCGAAGGTGTGCCAGGGTCCACAAAGACCTGATGCGCCAGCACATCAGTGTCCTGCACAACATCCACCGGACCCTGGCGCACAAAGTCTGCAAGGGACCAACTGATGCAATGGTGTGACAACATGTGCTGCTGCTCCTGGCTTCCACCCTCCTGCCCCCCTGCTATGCCCATTCCCCCTCTGCCTGCCCCTCACATGATGCCCATGCCCCCTCCTCCTGCCTCCATTGCCAACACTGACCCTGCTCCAGCCCCCGCTCCCTGTCATCCCTGGATCCACCCGACCCCTACTCCAACGAGATCCCTGCACCCGAAGTGGCACATCTAGCTGCCCCCTTCTCCCGCCAGGTTATGAGCCCCTCTCCCCCTGCACACCTTTTTTTAATGTGATATAAAGACAGACTGTGTTTTGTTCAAAATCAAACAGGTGTTTTTATTGAGAGTTCAGGGAAGGGGAGAAGGGAGGGATGGTGGTGAAGAAGGGATAAGGCAGCAAGCCAGAGGCCCCTATTGGGGAGGCCTTGGGGAGAGTTATTGGGGTCCTTCAGGGCCTCTGGGATGTGCACCCGGCCTGATGGACCTGTCGGATGGCAGCTGTCTTCGGCTGCTCGAACACTTGCCCCTCATGGCTTGTGTCTGCCCCCCACCCTGGGAGGAAGGCCTTCCCCTTCCTTTACACAATGTTGTGGAGGATACATCATGCTGACATCACCTTGGGGATGCTGTGCTCCCCCATGTCCAGGCAGGTGATAGAAGGCACCTGAACCGCGCCTTGAGGTGACAGAAGGCACACTCCACCTGAATCCTGGCCCAGTTCAGGTGGGCATTAAATTGGTCCCTGCTGGGATCCAGGTGGCTGGTGTATAGCTTCATAAGCCACGGCATGAGGAGGTAGGCCGCGTTCCCCACGATGCACAGTTGCATCTGCACATCCCCAATGGCAAGTTCACAGCGGGGGAAAAATGTGTCCACCTCCAGCTTGCAGTACAGGCTGGAGTTTCTGAAGACTCAGGCATCATGCGCCCTGCCCAACCACCCGCCAAAAATGTCTGTAAAGTGTCCCCACAGGTCAACCAGGGCCTACAGCACCATCGAAAAGTAGCACTTCTGATTACTATGCTGGGCCGCTCGATGGTCCGGTGCGCGGATCAGGATGTGCGTCCCATTGATCGCTCCCCTGCAGTTCGGGAACCCCAGGGCAGCCAATCCAGCCACAGTCCCCTCCAGGTCTCCCAGACGGATGATCTTCCGCAGCAGGAGGGAGTCGATGGCCCTCACAACCTGCAGAAGGAGACAAACAAACACACAAAGCAGAGAATGAGAGAGGGAGTGCCTCAGCCCTTGGGAAGTGCTCACCCTGCTCCCTTTCCCTGCCCCCCTCAAACACTCCAGGAGCCACTCCCTAGGGGGTCGCCCCCCCAGCAGCAGGACTGTGTGAGGGCGGGATGGCACAACCTCCCCAGGGATGGGGTTTCCCCCTTACCTCCACTCCCCCCCACAGCTCCCAACACTCCTTTCCCGAGAGACCCCCTTTTCCAGGACTCCCCACCCCCCATGCAGGGACTGCAGCCCCAGAGCGCCTTACCTCCATAAGGAGGGCCCCAATGGTGGACTTCCCCATGCTGGACTGGTTGCCCACCAACTGGTAGCTGTC